CAGTACTTTATTAAACTAACAATAAGAACATTAAATAAGTTCAGTACTTTATTAAACTAACAATAAGAATGAAGACTTGCTGTAATAGTATCATAAGTCATGTTGTCTGCAGAGAGACGAAGGAGGGTATGGTGGGAAGAAGACTTGCTGTAATAGTATCATAAGTCACGTTGTCTACAGAGAGATGAAGGAGAGTACAGTGGGAAGAAGACTTGCTGTAATAGTATCATAAGTCATGTTGTCTGCAGAGAGATGAAGGAGAGTACGGTGGGAAGAAGACTTGCTGTAATAGTATCATAAGTCATGTTGTCTGCAGAGAGATGAAGGAGAGTACGGTGGGAAGAAGACTTGCTGTAATAGTATCATAAGTCATGTTGTCTACCGAGAGATGAAGGAGGGTACAGTGGGAAGAAGACTTGCTGTAATAGTATCATAAGTCATGTTGTCTGCAGAGAGATGAAGGAGAGTACGGTGAGAAGAAGACTTGCTGTAATAGTATCATAAGTCATGTTGTTTATTTGGGTGTTTTTATGTCTGTTTATTGTTATGGTTTTCCAAGAGTTCTTTTTTGAAAGACACATGAATTATAGGCTAAGCAGCCCCACCATTAGTGATTTTACTGCATCACAGTAGGGTTAGTTTTCAATACAAACATATCAGAAAATTGTGGTTATTTTTTTTCAAACAGCGGCTCACTAGAAAACAAAAGTTGAAAGTTATATTGAAGAAACAAACACTCCAAGGACCAGTACAATCCATAGTATTCATTGTAAAATGTAATGAAAACTGAACTTGTTAAAGCCCCACAAATATGATTTTAGATATAAAATAATAGGTAGGATATTTGACCTGTAGCCAACTAAAACCACCATCTCTGCAGTACTAAGTTTCCTTTTTTCTGACATAAAGTGTAAGGATTTATTTTAAGCTTGGGAATCATACAATAATGGGACATTTGTGGGCAGTAATAGGTTTCACTCGTACCATACTGTATACGCTATGCTACTTGATTTATCAGTATTTTATTCAAGATGTTTTAATATATTTTTATCATTTATTTTTTTACAATATATGATAAAACAGTCATTAACGAGTGTAACGTGATTTCTAATATACACAAAGTTAACTAAAAACATTTGAACGTAGTGATAAAACCACTAATAATGGAAGATTTAATTAGATATTATAATGAAAGTGGTGTGAGTTCATGTCATAATTTTGTCGTTTCTTTCAGGCCATGCTCATCAAAATGACATTCATTTCTACTACACATCTTCAGTGTAAGTCTTTTATCTTTGTATTGACAGTATTGTATTCACAGTTTTAGTGGTTCTAACGAACATGGATGGGTTTTATAGTACTTGTGAACTTTAAATTGAATAATCAGTGTGATCTTAAGTGTAACGATATTCAACTATGTGTAGCAATTACAGTTTTATTCAACTCCATTTTAAAAACATCTCAGTATTACCTTGATTAAATATTTGTATTCTTAAATACTTCACTCATGTTCTTTATTAACACCAGAGATGTTTGAATCATTCACTGCCTTTCTATATATAATACTTTTTTTTATTTGCATTCTGTCATGCTATCGTTGTAAACGTGGCACATATAATGCATCATATTGGAATCTAATAGATCCACTCAAGCTTGCAAGTCTGGTCGTGCAACCACCATTACTCTTCACTGTGATAGCAACCAGGAGGGAAATGGCACAATACTGCCACCTACCTCATGCCCAGACGGAACGTGTGATGGATGTAACTTTCATTTTATGTGGAAAACACGACTAGCATGCCGTATATGTACCAAAGACGATTATGAGGTGAGTTTGATTGGTTCATTATTCCCACTGTACTTTCCTTCATCTCTCTGCAGACCGGAAGGAAGGCAGCTAGTAACAGCATCCACTGCCAACTCTTGGCTACTATAATTTTTAACTTGATAAACCAGAAGGAAGGCAGCTAGTAACAGCATCCACTGCCAATTCCCACTGTACTTTCCTTCATCTCTCTGCAGACCGGAAGGAAGGCAGCTAGTAACAGCATCCACTGCCAACTCTTGGCTACTATAATTTTTAACTTGATAAACCAGAAGGAAGGCAGCTAGTAACAGCATCCACTGCCAAAACTGATACACTGTACTAAGCTGTATTTGTAGTTTAACACTGTACTAAGCTGTATCTGTAGTTTAACACTGTACTAAGCTGTGTTTGTAGTTTAACACTGTACTAAGCTGTATCTGTAGTTTAACACTGTACTAAGCTGTGTTTGTAGTTTAACACTGTACTAAGCTGTATCTGTAGTTTAACACTGTACTAAGCTGTGTTTGTAGTTTAACACTGTACTAAGCTGTATCTGT